ATATTAAAAAATGTTTTATCTATTTTTAACCAAATTATACAGTCTATAGAATTTTTAACAATTTTTATTCCTTGCCTTATAGTGTCTATAATATATACCACAAGTCCGCCGCTTGACCGTTTTGCCCTACGGTGTTGATATTTCCGATATGAATGAATTGGATTTGAATAGCCTTTAAGTTCAATATTTGACGATTTGTTTGTCCATGTCTCACTTAGACAGATAATATCATTTTTACATAATATGTCTAAAAAATCCTTGCATTGTTTTTTTCCCACAGTAAGTCCTTCTACGTTCCACGATATACATTTTAAAACATTCCCACTTGGTTCCTAGCACGATTCTCTATAAAGCTGATTGTTAATGTAAAGTTTGTCCATCTTAAGGTATGCTTCCTTTCCATCCCGGCGGGCCTGTAACATGATAGGGATTAACTTACGGCGCTGATCTACTATTTCTTTCGGATACTGTTCTGATATGCCATAGATAGATCCCTTCAGCTCCTTGGCAGCTCGTCGCACCCGCTCACGATCGGGGAAGTCCGTGAATTTGGCGACAATCGGTCGTGTTTTTCCGGCACTATATTGCCCAATGCGATGCACTCTCTGAAGTCGGATATCACTAGATGCATTTTCTATTTTAAGTTTTTCTTCAATGAATTGTAGGATTTTAACTTCACAATTTTCGTCTTTTTCTTCTTTGATTTTGTGAAACAATAAATTGTCCCGCATACTACGACATTTTAAATCTTGTATTTCTGACTTTAATGCGATTTCTATGCTTTTATGTTCTAGTTCAATTTTCGACATTTTACTGGCAAAACTATCTAACTCTTTGTGATGCTTATTCATTTCTAACAAAGTTTGACTATCGAAGTCGCGGCTACGCTCTAAAGCCTGTACTTTATCATCGAGTTCATTGACCTTTAATTCCATTGTTTGGATACGCATGTTTATACTGTCAACACTACATTGAATTGTATCTAACCTGGAAAGTTTATTGTCCATACTATCCAACCGTTTCATTATCATTGTCATAACGTCTGTGCCTGGCGAGGCGGTTACATGAACATTAGATGAGTTACATGCATCCATTTGTCCCATAATTGGGTAGGGGCTTGCACCAATATTCATTGGAGGGGGGTACGTGTATCCAAAGTTCGATGATAATAACTGTGATTGGGGGGTATAAGGTTGTGTTTGTTTAAACGATGAGTCAGTACTTAGCTTTTGTCCATTTTGTCCATTTTCCTTGTCCATGTTTTGCCTTTGTTTACGTTCCCGCCTTTTCACTGGTGTTTGATGTTTTTCTTCTCCAGGCGAAGTTTTAGACTTTTTTCGCTTTCTGGTCATATGGTCCCAATATTAAACATTCCCTTCACCAAAAAATATATCCAAAACTTATTTTGATCACTAAATAACTTGTAAATATATTAATTTTCCATTTTCTATTACACTGATTTAAAATTTCCACCATTTGCTCACGCATGCGCACTTACAATAACGATGACTACATTTATGATACTTTAAGCCTTTGATAGACGTGATTTCATGTTATGCCAACTAGAAAACAGTAATTTTTGAATGACTTAAAGCGGTAAGTACTGAAAATTATAACAGATATACGAAAATATGCGGGACTAATAATTCAATGTCAAAAGGGTCTGTTCAAGGTATCATTAGACGACTATTTCATCAGTAATTTAAATTAAAACAGAAGGGTGTTAAAGATAGAATTTTATTACCCCTGCATTACATAATATTACACAATTTGTGTTCCACACTTCCTTTGAATAATTGTATTGGCCAGGCGGTATGGCCAGGCGGTAAGTGTCAAACAGATTAACGCACGCTCGTTTGTTCATTCAACCGGGATATTAAAGTACCATGACATGTCAATCACGTACACTAATTAAATTGTAATTTAAGAAACTTTTACATATATCATCGATCAATGTTTATTGATTTTGTGAAGTGACAAATTGTGTGACATGCATTAAAAAACAAGGGTGCCATAGTCACAAAATACGCCCGTTTACGAAAGCTTTAGACAGAGATGGGGGCATTATGGATAAGTGTTATCTAGCAAGCAAGTTTTTATTCTTGGCACTGTGTTGTTAAATGAACCTTAAAACAAATCAGTAGGGAAGATATGCACAGGATGTGTGACCTTGACCTTGGTCGCAGGGACCTGAATTTTATGCACGGCACTCAGCCTCACAATGATGAACATTTGTGCCAAATTATATTGAAATCCCTCTATGCATGTAGAAGTTTTGCTCCAGACAAGCGTTTTTCTATGAGCTCTAACTATGACCTTCACCTTTGACCTAGATACTTGGTTCATGTGCAGGGCACTACGTCTCATGGTGGTGAACAATTCTATAAAGTAACATTAAAATTCCTCCATGCATGTAGAAAATATGCTCCGGACAACATCTGGATATTTAATCATCTCCAGTGACCTTGACCTTGCAAATATTAACCTAAATTAAATGTGTCACACCTGTAGTCATGATAGTTACCATTTGTGCTACAATCCATCAATAAATGATGACTAAATGGTCCCTATACAAATCTTCAAATTTTTATCTGAACTTTGACCTCTATGTGTAACCTTGACTTTGGTCGCAGGGATCTGAATTTTGTGTGCGACACTCAGCCTCACAATGGTGAACATTTGTGCCAAGTTATATTGAAATCCCCCTATGAATGTAGAAGTTTTGCTCCGGACAAGCGTTTTTCAATGAGCTCTAAGTGTGACCTTGACCTTTGACCTGGAGACCTGGATCATGCATGGAGCAATACATATCATGGTGGTGAACATTTCCATAAAGTATTATAAAAATTCTTCCATACATGTAGGAGATATGCTCCAGACAAAATCTGGATATTTCACCATCTTTAGTGACCTTGACCTTGCATATATTGACCTAAAGTACATGTGTCACAGCCATAGTCATGATAATGACCATTTGTGTTACAATCCCTCAATAAATGATGATTAAATCGTCCCTATACACATCTTCATATTTTTATCTAAACTTTGACCTATATGTGTGACCTTGACCTTGGCTGCAGGGACCTGAATTTTGTGCGCGACACTCCGCCTCACAATGGTGAACATTTGTGCCAAGTTATATTGAAATCCCTCTATGCATGTGGAAGTTTTGCTCCGGACAAGCGTTTTTCAATGAGCTCTAAGTGTGACCTTGACCTTTGACCTAGAGACCTAGTTCATGTGCGTGACATGGCTTCTCATAATGGTGAACATTTCTATGAAATTTCATTAAAATCCCCCCATGCGTGTAGGAGATATGCTCCGGACAAAATCTGGATATTTCATCATCTTTAGTGACCTTGACCTTGTATATATTGACCTAAATTATATGTATCACAGCCATAGTCTTGATAATGACCATTTGTGTTACAATCCCTCAATAAATGATGACTAAATGGTCCATATACACATCTTCATATTTTTATCTGAACTTTGACCTCTATGTGTGACCTTGACCTTGGCCGCAAGGACCTGAATCTTGCGGGCGACACTCCGCCTCACAATGGTGAACATTTGTGCCAAGTAATATTGAAATCCCTCTATACATGTGGAAGTTTTGCTCCGGACAAGCATTTTTCAAGTGTGACCTTGACCTTTGACCTAGAGACCTGGTTCATGTGCGCGACACTGCTCCTCATAGTGGTGAACATTTCTATGAAGTTTCATTAAAATCCCTCCATACATGTAGGAGATATGCTCCGGACAAAATTGGACGCCGCCCGCCCGCCCGCCCATACGCCCGACCGCCCGCCCGCCAGGGGCGTTCCCATAATACGTCCCGTTTTTCAAACGGGCGTATAAAAATTAACATGTGTTACGAAGAACCGGATAAAATGGCACTTCCTAACAACCCATCTTTACTTCTCAAGTTTTTGAAGAAACAAAAATTAATTATATTTATGTGACTTAAATTTTTTCTGTTTGCTTCACAGTCAAATCGGATAAAGAATAAAATCAGGTACCTGTAAACTGAACACTAAAATGCATTATCACCTGTTCTGGCTTTTTAACAGAATTATAATTAAATCGAGTTTCATGTTATAAAATTTCTTTAGTTTTTACACAAACTTTTTCAACAACAATTAAGTTGACTTTTCATTTGCTAATAGATATACATTGTATTTCCACATATTCTTTAAAAAATTATCTCAATGTCAGGTCCGTGATCGTAAATTCTTAAACAATTATCTTTTCCATACCTTTTGTGGCACTCTGCGCCACAAAGCTATAAAGGCATCTTTTCTTTTTTTGTGAAAAGCTATTCTATATAATTTTCTCCCTTTTTTCTAAAACTAACTTAAAATGTCTATGAACTTCTACTATATTTCTATGTAGGGCGATGCTCTTTTTGCCCTACGCAGATTGCACATGTGCGAGAAAATTCTACTTCCGGTCGATTTTTCATAGCAACGGATCGCGTCGTAAAAAGGTCTTTATGCATTTTATGTAGCGAAAGTATAATAAAAAAGCAACCTAACCCCTTGAAATTATCTGTAATAAAACACCCCTAGAATTTTGCATTAATTGGACTATTTTTCTGAGTAAATTATCGTATTTATATGAATACATGAATACTCAGTAAGGTATACGATCAGATGGATTTCAAACATCTTAATATACTGTAAACTGTAATTGACTGGACTATTTCCTATCTTTATCACAAGAGAAACCTTAGCAATAGTTCTCACTATATTTCTCTAACCATACTGTTTCTAACAATCCATTTTTCTGGACTAAGCACAGGGTCTACTATGCAAAGCAATCTACCATAAGAGCTCAATGCCAACTGAGGCTAAACAATTCTTTCTCCCTACTATTTTAATGTGATCCGAAACTGTATTTTCCTCTTTTTTCTAAGTAGAATCATTTTATTCTGGATTCATACATTGCAATTAGTGTTGTAAAGGAGAAAACTAGCCAAAAGAAACATAAATTGGATTTCACTTTTATTACAATTATTTTGTCATCTCAAAATTGTAAAATGGCAAATAACAAAAATATATAACAGTCAATAACAATGGTTCATATAAATAATAATGTGAAATATTAATTAAAAAATATTTAAAAAAAGTGCAAAGTGATAATGTTACACAATAACAAATTACTGGTAAGTATTTACATGTACACATTTGATACACTTGAACTGCTCAAAGCTGGTCGCCATGTCACGTTGTATTTTATAATAACAGTTAATATATGCTAATCCAACTCTGTAACAATAGATATCTTACAGTCCTTTTTAAGAAATTTTAAGAACATTTTCAGCATTTGACATTATTTGTTTGTCAATTAATCTTTTTTGGTCATACTAATAGAATTGAGAGTATCTTGGATAATTAACCAGTAATACAGATATATAAACAATATTTAGCTCCATGCAAGTAATTACAAATTCCTCCGCATCACAGATATATAAACTGTTATATTTAGCTCCATGGCCGCACGCATCTACAACTAATACTACACGATTTCTGAATCAGTGGTGGGCGACAATTACCATTATACTCAATATCCGAGACCAATCGTCATGAGAAAATTTTATCTCGCCCGAGGATCGAACCAGCGTCCCCTGGATTACCAATTCAATCCCTTCCCTACGCAGACGGACACCGGCTTTACAGATGATTACGAGTGAACACATACGTAATGTTCAAACTCCAAGCGAAAATAACGTTCGTCCTTCATTGAGAATGAAAGGACTGCACCCATAGATGTTTACAAAATTTTGTCAAGTTTTAACATATATGCCAATTTCTTTTCCACCCGTAACTGAAATGGAAGACTACTAGGATAACATTTAGTCTGCTGAAAATAGTTGTACACAGAAATTCTCTTACGCTGATAAAGCGAATGATCGTATACGAGCAACTAAAACACCATCGATATTTCCGTAGAGACTGTTACACTCTGTTACTGTTCTGGTAAGGACACAAGTCAGATGTCCCCTCTCTCACAGGGTACCCCCTTGAAATTTTTAGTTTCAGCTATATATGCCAAACCCGCAAATAACCATGCAGTACCAGGATCATCAGCATTAGTGCATTTCATGCTAATTGTGTCATAAATACTGTAATATCAGGTTAAAGATGTCAGTCTAGGTTGATTACTACGAATACCCTGGGTATGGTGGGGGCGGATCCTCCTGTACTTCGTTATCATAAACAGGAGCTGTTGAAAATAGAAATTGAAATATTGAAGACAGTACTTTACAAGCGAAGCAGAGACGAACATTTTTCTTTGTTTAGAAAGGGCAAGCAAGAGTTTTAAATAACAATTTTATATACATGTATATACGTTATATAGCTTCTTATCACCTGGAGAAAGTAGCACTGGATGTGGAATCATTTGTTATTTAAGTAGCGAAATGTAAACACTTCCATACTAAATACTACATCACTTTAACTGTACTGAATTTATTTCCACTATTCCAAAACGCAGCAAAAGATGGTTTAGGTAATATATGCCAATGAATACCTTTCTTGGAAACAGTTAAAGGAAAAAAACTTATGAGCAATAGGAATAAAAGCATTTACGGGACATATATGAGCCGCGTCACGACAAAACCAACGTAAAGCGTTTGCGACCAGCAGGGATCCAGACCAGCCTGTGCATCCGCGCAGTCTGATCAGGATCTATGCTGTTCGCTTACCAACTCTATTACAAGTAGAGAAACTGATAGCGGCAGCATGGATCCTGATCAGACTGTGTGGATGCGCAGGCTGGTCTGGACCCATGCTGGTCGCAAACGCACTATGTTGGTTTTGTCGTGACGCGGCTCATATAATGGGGCCTTTGAGATAATAAGGATAAAAATAATGCAAACTGTCGGAGTACTGTGTTGAAAGTAGGCGTTGAAGCCTTTCATTTCAATACAGATTTTACCGTAATCAAGAAAAAAATCGACATTCATTTCAAGCAGTTTGTATGCAATAACTTACATTACACCCAGGTTTCATTTATGAAATTTAAAAAAAGACGGACTAATTATATGTTACAGGACATTGGCTTTTTTTTCGTGCCACTCACTTTGTTTATATTATATTTGTTTAATTTAAATCTAAATTATCGTTCAATGTATTATGTAGCTGACATTTCATAAAAGTATAAAAACAACTCTTTACCTGTAGGCTCTGAAACATCTGTATGAGAAGTACCGCATGCATTGTTTTGTTGATCCGTGGCGGCCATTACTTCAACATAAGATGGCGGACCAGCAGAAGTTACGTCAGTTTGACTTCGATCCTGTTCCTCTGAATGATATAGGACTACTTCAGCTGTAACAAATTAAATGAAGAATATTTAATACAACATTCTATAGCATCTGTGACACAATTGTTTATTTCGAACATTAGGTTTATGAATGGTATACAATGGGAACTCACTATCAGGCTAAAACTACAACTTTATTTAAAAAGGCACGTATCCTGCATGTACAATTGCATATCAATGTACTTTAAAGTTGATACTATATTCAGTACATGACTTTATACCTAGTAGACGAGTTGAAAACAAACAAAGCTAAAATGTCCTTTTATTATAAGATATTATTTTGAAAACATTAAATAAATCCATAGAAATGAAAGAATTAATTTTTATTTCAAATGCTACCTAAATATTTATCTTGTGTTCAAAGTATCTACATGTATTAGAATGCCCGACTTTGTGACAATGTTAAGTTTATTATGACTTTCTAGTTATATTGGCGGACACTGGTGCCCTTTCGCACATCTTTAAACCACACGCGTGCACCAAAGTCACTTATCAAACTGAATACAACGTATATAGTTTTCTCAATAGCAACCTTCATTGTCTTTATCGGTATTCCAACATCTGTAAAGGCCGTTTAAAATAATTCAAGCGTTTTTCACAATTTTTTTCACAAATTTGTAAACATATCATCATATTTACGTTGTGCATTTTGTCTTCTGCTGATTCTACGTCTGTAAACGGCAATAACGGAAATAAGGACGACAACAAAGACACAAACAGCAATACCAACGTACAAAGTTGCATGACTCTCTTTTCTCTGTTCTGCGCGAGCATCTGTAACTGAAATATTTCATTTGGAAGAAACAAGAAAAGTGATGGTCATATTAACACATATGAAATACTGATTTTACAAAATTACTATTAAAATCAAGAGCTTTCGGAGGATCAGCGCGCTCCATTTATTTCATTGTTGGATAGTAAACGATAAAAATGACAAACGAATATATAAATCTTTATTTCATTTTTTTTTGATAATACATATAATTGATAACTTTCAAAAAAAAAGAGAAATGTTTCAGCTTACTTGTTCGTTTATATATTTTAATTTTCAAATCTCCTATCACATCTCCCAAATTTTTCCAAGGTTTGAACGTAATATAAACTTCCGCGCTGTCTTCACAAACAGCGTTTTGTCGAATCTGATCACAAGTGTGAGACTGCAAGCAAACAAAAATGTAACAAAAAGTGTCTTCATACATGCCTGGTTACTTTAAATAGTCAAATCTACTTATACATGAATATTAGATTTGATTTGTCATTTTAACTGAAGTAATACACGAAGAGGCACACTGACCCATTCTTGATGAGGAAAGAATCAGTGTCTTATGACCTGGTTAGTGTCGAATTGCCTCTTACACCCTACTCTCGAAATGTAGTTCCTTTTCGGCTTAAGCTGCAATAAAATACCTTATTCCTTAAAAGGAAAGATGGAATGGTGTCTTATATGACCTTAATTAACAGTTTTAATGTGCCATTTACAATCCCCCACCCCCAAAAAGTACCATAAGAGGTACCCCAAAAGAAGTTCCTTTTCAACTTCATATACAAATTTTACGCATTGCTTTTAATAAATCTACATATAACATTAAATTATCTACCTGAAAAACGACTGAATTTCTGCATGTGTTTGGGGCAGAAACCAGTTCTACACAGAAGTTATGTTCATTAAAAGAATTGTCATACTGTATTTTAACAATAGGTGTGCAACGATTGTCTCTCGAATCTGTAATAGTAGCACCGTCATAATATAGCACGAACTTGTCACGATCATCTGTTAACTCTAAAACTCTGTAACAACTATCGACAAACACACTGGTCGGCGTGACACCTGAAATGCATACATTAATTAATATTAACAATAAAAAGGTATATACTAGTAGTTAGTATTAACAAGGGCCATGTTAGCATGGCCATCCCCGCCGAATGTGTTTGCTCATTGTGAGAATGTATATGTAGTAGAGCAGAACAATTCAATCTAAAAAGGTTCTTTGGTTATGAAAACTGATGGCTAAAGTGATTACAGATTTGAAATCTATGTGATTACTGATGGCTGAAAATAACAAAGGTAAATAACTGAAAAATGATGCAGGGTAGGTTATCATTCTTGTGTGCTGCACTCCTCCTCAATGAGATCTATCCACCTATTTCCTCCTCAATAAGATCTATCCACCTATAAAGTTTCAAGTTGACATCTCAAAGACTTTTTGAGTTATGCTCCACTCAGGTGAAAAATTCGGTATGAAAAATAACAAAGGGCAAGAACTAAAAAAAACAACGAAGGGTACAGTTATCATTCTTGTGCACTGCACACCTCCTGAGTAAGATCTATCCACCCATGAAGTTTCATGTTGATATCTCAAAGACTTTTTGAGTTATGGTCTGGACAAAAATTAAGTTTGAAAAATAACAGAGGGCAATAACTGAAAAATTATGCAGGGTAGAGTTATCATTCTTGTGCACTGCACTCCTCCTCTATGAGATCTATCCACCTACGAAGTTTCAAGCTGATACCTCTAACACTTTTAAGATAAGCTCCGGACAAAAGGTATGAAAAATAACAAAGGACAATAACTCAAAAATTATAACAGGTAGAGCTATCATTCTTGCGCACAGCATTCCTCCTCAATAAGATCTACCCACCTATAAAGTTTCATGTTGACATCTCAAAGACTTTTTGAGTTATGCTCCACTCAGGTGAAAAATTAGGTATGAAAAATAACAAAGGGCAATAACTAAAAAATTATGAAGGGTAGAGTTATTATTCTTGTGCACTGCACACCTCATGAGTGAGATCTATCCACCCATGAAGTTTCATGTTGGTATCTCAAAAGTTGAGTTATGCTCTCGACAAACATTAAGTTTGAAAAATAACAAAGGGCAATAACTGAAAAATTATGGAGAGTAAAGTTATCATTCTTGTGCATTGCACTCCTCCTCAATATGATCCATCCGACTATTAAGTTTCAAGTTGATACCTCTAACACTTTTTGAGATAAGCTCTGGACAAAAACTATGAAAAATAACAAAGGGCAATAACTCAAAAATTATAATGGGTAGAGTTATCATTCTTATGCACAGCATTCCTCCTCAATAAGATCTATCCACCTATGAAGTTTCATGTTGACATCTCAAAGACTTTTTGAGTTATGCCCCACTAAGTTAAAAAATAAAGTATGGAAAATAACAAAGGGCAAAAACTCAAAAATTATGAAAGGTAGAGTTATCATTCTTGTGCACTGCACACCTCCTGAGTGAGATCTATCCACCCATGAAGTTTCATGTTGATATCTCAAAGGTTTTTTGAGTTATGCTCTGGACAAAAATTAAGTTTGAAAAATAACAAAGGGCAATAACTGAAAATTATGCACTGCACTCCTCATCAATAGGATCTATCCACCTATGAAGTTTCAAGTTGATACCTCAAATACTTTTTGTGATATGCTCCGGACAACAATTTCGGACGGAAGGACGGACGGACGGATGGACGGAAGGACAGACGGACGGAGACTATTTCTATATCCCCCGCCGCCGAAATAAACTGTAGATACCCAAAAATAAATGACAATTTAGATATAATTATATACATGTTTTCTAATTTTGTTATTTAATTAACTTAAACCATATTTTATCCATAGTAAATGTAAAGCAGCGATGACTTATAATTGCCCTTTCCCTGAATTTACATGTGTTGAAAACGAAACATAAAAGCACATCAACAAATACTTTATACTTCTTTGATGCTTTTTCTTATCTCAAAATGATTACCCGACGTACAGTCAAACTGTGTTGAAAACCACCTCCGAACAATGACCATCGTGTAAATAAAGACCACTCCTTTTACAAACCAACATTGATACAAATACAAAGGAGTAAACTCCAAATAAAAACTACTTGTATATAAAGGTCATGTATGGTCTCTCTTCTTTGGATGGTCTTTATTCACAAGTTCGACTGTTTGTAAAATAATAAGTCACAGATATTCGTTAATAATAATCACGAGAAATCACGAGACTTATATTTCACTAAACTTAGAATTTCGAATAATCGTTGACTGACTGACTGACTGAATGAATGAATGACTGACGATATTATACAATATTAAATTAAGAATAAAATATAAAAAAAATCATTAAAATTAAAAAAAAATAAAATAAACCGTGGGTGATTATTCGCCGCGCCCAGGCGCCCTTAACTTACTTCGGTATATCAAACGCAAGCATATCTTGTATGTTGTAAATTGATTCAATAATCATTGAACATTTTAGTTTTGTCATTTGTTTTAATGAAATGGGAAATATCAGTACTTTGTACAAAAATAAAGGGGACAAAATCGGAAGAACACATTTTGTGAACACCATCTTCATGCAAACTTCATGGCAGAAATTTTCATTATATTTTAAATATATTATATTTTAATATTATAGAAAAAGAAACAATCGAGGGTTGCTTGCTTGCTGTGATCTACGCCTTTGGGTAATTGTATACACACTATCTTTGTGGATCGTAGTGAATTTATTATATTTTGGACAGTTTGAAGATTATCTTGCCCTACTTTTTTCGGTTGGAAATGATAAAGCATTGAAAGTTTAAACTGTATATGCATATACAAACTGATTAAAGCTAACTAATATAAATACATGTATCTATGAAATATCACAGGAACTTAATGTTAACGATAGTATCAAAAATACCCCCTTTATAGTATTTATACTCTAACGATAATAAAAAACATTCTCCTACTGTATACTATATAGGGGGTATTGTTTGATATTATAGTTAATATTGATAAAATTTCAAATTCCAGTGGAAACATCAACTGTATGTAAAACAGTTAATGCACTGGTCATTGAATTTCCAGGACATTTACTATGGGTTGTGAAATCTTCGGCCTGCCGGAGACTGGCGGAGGCCATCAAATTAGCCGCGTCATGACAAAACCAACATAGTGGGTTTGCGACCAGCATGGATCCAGACCAGCCTGCGAATCCGCACAGTCTGATCAGGATCCATGCTATTCGCTTTCAGTTTCTCTACTTGCTATAGGGTTTGTAAGCGAACAGCATGGATCCTGGTCAGACTGCGCTGATGCGCAGGCTGGTCTGGATCCATGCTGGTCGCAAACCCACTATGTTGGTTTTGTCATGACGCGGCTCAAATTGTTTATGTCTACCAAATTTATCCCTCCAATAGGACAGCTTAGATTATTAAACCACATGCTAATTTAGTTCATCAATAGTATTGTTTGATTTTATTAACCTGTCAATTCCATACTGATTATACGGTCAATGCACAGAATATATTAATATCCGATAAATGTTCGGTAAATTCCGTGAAAGGTACGCAGTAAGATATGATTAAATTCATCTTGTTTCCATGAAGTATTTACTCTGACCGTTATAGTGCAATAGGGTAAACCACTGGTATATATTATCTAAATGTCCAGCGTGTTGTAAGATCGAGGCAGAGTTTGTCCATATTTTTTTTTTATTCATAACTATTTTCATGGAGCTAAATATATCTGTGCTATTTTTCAACATTTGTTCTTTCTATTTGTAATAATTATGTTTTGCACTTTTTTTGTACATACTATACTTTTGTATGTAACATTGTTTTACAAATAATATCGAAAACTCATCCGAAGCCGTAAAATACAATACAAAACATGACAATTCAGTCTTTCTTAGTTGTTTCATATGCGTGTAGACAATTTTGCAAGCGCTTGACCATTTTCATTTAAAATATACTTAAAAATAAAGAAAGAATAAGGCTAAAAATAATGTCAAAAGAACGGGTCGAACATGGGGCCTCTTATGCATTAGTTAAGCACTTAACCGACTTTGCTATTGCGGATGTTACGACAACCTACATTTAGCTAGTGGGAGTTTCCAAACGTAATTGATATCACTCCATATTAATTCTCGTAAAATAAACGAACAAAACCGAAGTGGGATCGAATATTTAAATGAGTGCTATAATGTATTCATAATTGACAGGTCAATAAAATCAGACTATATTGACATGTAAACAGACACCGGAGTGGGATAGCAAAATGACTAAAAATGATTTATTTATCGTTTTGGCGAAGTAAATGTTAAATTGAAATGAATTAAATTATGGCAAAATGTAAACTTATTTTGACTTTCACCCGCTCACTTACTATATACCAGGTACACCTGGTATGTCAAAGAAGAACATTAACATAAATAGAGAATCACCTGTAATATTTACATGTACAATACATACCTGAACAAGAAGTAAATAAATGAATCACTGCCGATATGAATGTCATACATATAATTTCCATTTTCATGTAACGATATCACAAACAAAATAAATGTATGATATTGAAAAAAATACCGGTTGAACATACTCTACGTGATTTAAATTACCGTGTAGGCCAAAATTCAGTAAACATTCCACGGGCGGTGAAGGATGTCACACACAGAGTAAAATAACCCCAATATTCTTTCCTCTTAACTTTTTTAAATAAACGATTTTGCACAAATAATTAACATGTGATGTTGCTTTTTACAAGACTTAATAGGCTAAATGGAATCTAAGATTTAATAAAAAGATGAGTGAGTTATTGATATGTGGCGTGAGTGTGTATGTGAGATAATATTTCGGTATTGTGTGAAACGAAAACATTATAAGAACTGAAAATATTAATAAAAATGCTTTTTATTGTTGCTTTAAAGGGCTTTGTAAACTATATAATCGAGGGTGAAAGCATAACAGCCGCATATATACAAGTAGTCCCTAACCAGTGTTTTTTTGGCAGTTTAACACCGTTTTTTTCGCTTCCTTGCTTATAGTGCCAAATTCACGTGAGTGTTAGAATTGCCGTTATTTTTAATTATTTGCTTATATTTTTCAATGATTTATAGAATGTCAAGCTCCGGTGATTTCAAAAACATGTTTATGAACAGGAATCATTTATTGAAAAATGACATTATACGTTTAGGGAAAATAGCAACATTTTTTAATAAAAAGAATGAAGTTGACTGCATCAGTTCTTTGAATTTTATAGTGTGTTCGGTCGATTGAAATATTTACTTGGAATTAGGCTCAGAAGAAAGGGCATTTTAACATATAGTGGAATTCATCGGCAATATTATTTTGATTACATAAAGTGCATTTCCTTTGACCATGTTCTACAAAAGACTTGCTCCATCTGCCAGTTTGAAAAAGTGTCACAGTTAAATCGTATACAAATACATGCACAGTACGTTAACTGGAGTGCAGGCATCAGTAACCCGCACTCCAAATCATTCCCGTTGAGAAATAAAGTTGATTTCTATGCTGGCTGATTTGGAACGTTTTGTGTGCCGTCTTATCGCTAGCGAAGCACGCCAAACGTCGCGTTGTCGTGTGGCGTGTTGTCGCGATGTCGCTCAAATCAAAGGATTGGCTTATAAGCAAAGCGACAAGACGTCAGCGATAACGATATAGGTTGTGTTGTCGCTATCGACAACGCAACGCCCAAAGTGTTCCAAATCAGCCACCATACATTATAAGCTATATCATTCTCGTAAATGAAATACATGGAAAAAAATATAAAATAATGATTATTAATAAATTTAAAAAATTAAAAAAAGTAAATAAATTAAAAAGAAAAACAAAAATATAATAATTTAATTCAAAGGCCTAATAAAAGTTTCACCCGTTGTGGGATTTGAGCTTACGACCTTCCGCATTCGAAACAAGGACCTTAACCACTACTCTTACAGGCCATATATTATCTTTCAAATGTTTTGTCCTGTTGGTGCATTTTCGTATATGGCTTTATCCTGCCACCCCTGTGTACTTATAAATTAAGATTCCCCATTCTCGATCATATTTGAATCGATACCGTTATGCCGGATTCCGATGATTGCCGATAAAAGGTCATTGAATATTCAAATGTCTCGGGCCAATATTGTCCAACAATATTTCAGAAATGAAAAGGTCAGAGTTGAGAAGCACGGCGGAAATAGCCGAATTTTCCCGCTTCACAGATTACAGACCACGTGATCATTTGAGCTAACAGGTCATTTTTGGTGGGAAACTCGCGCCGAGAAGACGTTCTTTGTGAAAAGAGTAAGTGTGATGATATTTTACAACTTTTGTATTTGATCGTTTATATTGTTCATGTATGCTATTTTTATGTACTCGCGATTTATAAAATATCTTTAAATATGTACTTAGTTATAAGTTGATGTTATTGTTGATGGTTCTTATAAAATCTGATTTGGCTAGACTACGTGATGCGCCCGCGGTTTTGTTGATATACTCGCGATTTATAAAAAAATCTTAATGTAAGTTATCCCTGTACCCCCTGTAGTAAGTAATGTTTAGAGTTGAAGATATTGCTGATGGTTGTTGTTATAAAATGTGATTTGGCCAGACTATGAGATGCGCCCGCGGTTTTGTTGATATCCTCGCGATTTATAAAAAAATCTTTGTTAGTTATCCCTGTACCCCCTGTAGTAAGTGATGTGTTGAGTTGAAGTTATTGTTGATGGTTTTTGTTATAAAATGTGATTTGGCCAGACTACGTGATGCGCCCGCGGTTTTGTTGATATACTCGCGATTTATAAAAAAATCTTTATGTAAGTTATCCCTATATCCCCTGTAGTAAGTGATGTGTTGAGTTGAAGTTATTGTTGATGGTTGTTGTTATAAAATGTGATTTGGCCAGACTACGTGATGCGCCCGCGGTTTTGTTGATATACTCGCGATTTATAAAATATCTTTATTTAAGTTATCCCTGTACCCCCTGTAGTAAGTGATGTGTTGAGTTGAAGTTATTGTTGATGGTGGTTGTTATAAAATGTGATTTGTCCAGACTACGTGATGCGCCTGCGGTTTTGTTGATATAATCGCGATTTATAAAATATCTTTATTTAAGTTATCCCTGTACCCCCTGTAGTAAGTAATGTGTAGAGTTGAAGTTATTGCTGATAGTTGTTGTAATAAAATGTAATTTGGTCAGACTATGTGATGGGCGCCCGCGGTTTTGTTGATATACTCGCGATTTATAAAAAAATCTTTATGTAAGTTATCCCTGTACCCCCTGTAGTAAGTAATGTGTAGAGTTGAAGTTATTGCTTGATGGTTGTTGTTCTTAAAATGTGATTTGGCCAGACTATGTGATGCGCCCGCGGTTTTGTTGATATACTCGCGATTTATAAAAAGTCTTTATGTAAGTTATCCCTGTACCCCCTGTAGTAAGTGATTGTTGAGTTGAAGTTATTGTTGATGGTTGTTGTTATAAAATGTGATTTGGCCAGACTACGTGATGCGCCCGCGGTTTTGTTGATATACTCGCGATTTATAAAATATCTTTATTTAAGTTATCCCTGTACCCCCTTAGTAAGTGATGTGTTGAGTTGAAGTTATTGTTGATGGTTGTTGTTATGAAATGTGATTTGGCCAGACTACTACTTGATACGCCCGCGGTTTTGTTGATATACTCGCGATTTATAAAAAGTCTTGATGTAAGTTATCCCTGTACCCCCTGTAGTAAGTGATGTGTTGAGTTGAAGTTATTGTTGATGGTTGTTCTTATAAAATGTGATTTGGCAAGACTACGTGATGCGCCCGCGTTTCGTTGAATATACTCGCGATATATAAAAAAAAATCTTTATGTAAGTTATCCCTGTACCCCCTGTAGTTAGTAATGTGTTGAGTTGAAGTTATTGTTGATGGTTGTTGTTATAAAATGTGATTTGGTCAGACTATGTGATGCGCCTGCGGTTTTTTGATATACTCATACTCGAGTATTGTATTGGATATGTATTTGTATCTTTTTCACCAATAAAATAATCATGTTTTTTAAATTTTGTTGTATGCTACCTATCTCCTTTAGACCTATTGCTTCATGTTTAACCTACTCTTTTTATGCTATGACTTGTGTATTTAGAATTTTTGTACTATGATTATGTTTGATATGTTTAATTATGTAAATAATAAATTAGATTTTGAAATGCCTGTATTTATTTGTTCTAATATCTATATTTTTGTTTTACAGATCTACTTTGCCAGGTTCTTTAAATGTTTGTTTTATTTTGCCCCTATTCTAATGTTTTGTGTTTTGTTTTTTGTTTTTTGGAAACCCCCTGGAAAGAAGATGTTGGTGTTCTAGTTCGACATTGTGGCGGAGACGTGAGGATGTGGATAGCAGTGTATCATTGGTTGAAAACTAGCATGATGGAGAAATTAGGTATTTTACAATATTATACTTTAAGGATTTTTTTTTAACCGTTTATTTGTGTCTGAATAGTATCATCTATTTAAGAGATAAAAAAAATTCAGCTATTTCAACAAACAGTTGATAGAAATTGTCTATTGGAGATAGACTTTCATTAATTAATTAAGCTAGACTGGAAGGTAAGTGGTTCTACTAGGCATGAACTTGCCCTACCCTGAAACTCATTTGACGGCCTTTATCTGCCATATATATAAAGAATGAAACCTTCATATAATATAAAACCAATGAAACATTGATAATTACGTGCTTACTTGAAAAGTAATTTGTAAAGACATGATAAATATTAACATTTTAAGATTAGAATGTTATTTTGTAAACCCTGGTGATTTTTCAGACCATGGAGGAGTGATGAAGCGGAAGAGGATAAGACTATCAGTTCTTCGAGAGTCCCAGTGCCTATATACTCGCAAGAAGGATATTGGTATGGAACAGCTTAGTACATCTATGTGCTGGCAGATTTGTACAACAATAAGTTGTTCCAGTGTGAAGAAAGATGCGTGCCATAGGTTAACCTTGTTCTTTGATGCTATAGTAAATCATAATAAAGATAATGAATCATAATAAAATCAAAATACAATATCGAAAATTCGAGCATTTCTGTCCTCCGACACCTTTTGTTGAACTTGGAATTTATTTGAAAAGTGTTATATGTTTTTAAGCACATGTACTTGTATTATTTTTTTGTATTATATTAAATGATGTCTACTCTAGACTTAGGATAATTTTCCTTTGTCAATGCATGACAAGTCTCCATTACTATAGACCCAAAAATTTCCCAAAAAAATTAAAAAAACTTAAACCCTTAAAAAATTTTTAATTGGTTAATTATTTTTTCCAAAACCTGTTCCAAAAAATGATACCAATTAATCCAAAATTTTCCCTTTCTTTATTTCACAAAAACCTTTCCTTTTTTTTGAATTTTTTCCAAAAAAGTAAAAGTTAACCCCCTTTTTTTACAAAAAAACACACTTTATATAGGGGATCAGTATAAACACTTTTCTCGGGCCCTTGTCCGGGAGCTTCATATATACAAAAATGTTGATTTTCCCCGAGCATTCCTTTCAACCCCCTCCAAAAAAAAACACCAAATTTTTTCCAAAAATTTAATTGAAAAGGAAAATGGGTATTGTAAACACAACATATTTGGGGAAAGGGATTTTCCCCTTTTTTTAAAAA